AGCGCTTGTCCGCGTCGTGCGCGGAGATGCCAACGGGGCGGTTGCACACAACCTGCTGGTTCAGCACGTCCGTTACGCCCCACGAGTACACGCGCACCACGCTGTAGTGAAGCTGCACGTGGCCCACACTCCTCTCCGCAAGCACGTCGAGGGCGTGGCCAACCGCCGAGAGCACCACCGCGTGGAACAACTCCTCCGCGTGCCCGCGGGGCGACCCGTGAATGACGGCCCCGTGCATCGCATGCGGAGGGGCGTCGCGGGCGTAGGGGCAGCCCCCGCCAAAGTTCTCCGCCACGCGTCGCGCCAGCACGGACTCGTACAGCGTGGCGTGGAAGGGGTGGTACGTCACACTGTCGAAGCAAAACCGCGACGCGCCCGTCAGACCGTCGCGGAGAACGACGTCCCCCGTCGCCGCATCAACGTCGACGCCGTCCGCTCCATCATGCGAGGGGGCAATGTGCGCCCCGTAGAGAACGTCCTTTACGCTCAACGCCATTGACGAGGACTGAGTTGCAGCCTAAAAGCAAGGGGCAAAAAATAGAGAGGTCATTGTGAGGTTGAGTTTGTTAAAATCTGTTAGTTTTGCTGAATAATGTTATAGGCGAGTGCGAAAAAAAAAAAACGTATACATTTTCTATACTTCACAAACAAGTATTGTACACAAAGCAGGATTTGTTTTTCGTGGTTGGTGTTGTTTAGATGGCCATATATGCGTGCGTAGAGGGAGGCGCTGACCGCAGAGTGTCGTGGGTTACCGTGTTCTCTGTACGGCGCGTGTAGTTTTGTCATACTCCTTGGGCTGGCAAACAGTAATGGGGCAGCCGAGGTTGACTAGAGACGGAGGTTTTGCGCTGGGAAGACTGTAAAGCTGCGGGAGTACTCTCCTTGGTGGCGACGAATGCCGCCCATAATCTCGTAGAAGCGAGGGTGTGCTCCGTGACCGTAGCATCAGCGGCGCTGACGGTTTTGTTGGCAAAACTGCCGGGTCGCAAAGACACACGACAGATGCGGAGCTAGAAGCCGACAGCCCCTGCTGTCCCTCACGTAGACCGCCGTGCGTGAACTCACTACCTGCATCCTCAGCGGCGTTGCATTGGCTTCCATACTGCGCGGCAGAATAGAGCAGGGACGTTGCCGCGAAATCTGCGGCTGCTACCTCTACTTCACCGAGTAACTGTGCGCCCTCCACAACTGGCGCACACAAGGAGTCATTTCCTGGTGTCTGCGTGGCCATCGCCCTTGATGGCCTCTGTGTGAGGAGCTGCACCCACTTGACGTAATAGCGCCTGTAAATCCGCTGCTGGACGGCGCGCTTCAGGCACTGGTACGTGTGCAGCACCTCCTCCGAGGTGTGGTGAAGGGTGCGTGACCTTGTCTGGGCAGCCCTGGCGTTTAACGGCTGCTTCTCCTCCACGGATAAGCCACTAGCGATTTCTTCGAGGGAGTCGGAAGCCGAACACGCGGGGCTGTGCTGGTTGTCAGCGGCGTGCGGTTGCACAAAAATGTCACCGGAAATTTCACTGCCAGGCGCATCGCCCTCCACGGAGAGGGCAAAGGAGCCCGTTGATGCCTCGTCGGCCACAAGCACCTCGGCAGCGCCGGAGGCCCTCTCTGAACGGGCAGAAGAGGCAGCCTGGTAGGATTGCTGCTGCGTGCAAGGCGTCTCGTTGGTCGGGGGGTATAAATTCTCCTCAGCGTCGCCAGGGTAAACTATGGACTTTCCTGCCGCCACCACCTTGCGGCCCATGCCCTCCCCCGCTGGGCCGTCTCCGTTGCAGGCGCAGGGCGCCGGTGCTCGAGGGGCTTCCATTTGATGACACTTTTGAGCCCCCCCCTCCTCTACACACGCACAAAGAAAAACAAAAAAAAACGTCAGGGTGTTCCAGCCGAAGCAGAATATGTTTTTTGTTTGTTTGCTTGTTATTCTTGGCTCAAGCATCACACGCCGAAAATCACGCCGCAGGAGGCGTTCCAAGACACGCTATAAGGGTTCCACCTCGCCCGCCTCCCCTTCGCTTGGTCTCTTCGTGTCTACTTTGCCATTTCCTCCTTCTTCTTGTTGCCCTTCGATGAGGGCCTGTTCCTGGAAAGCTACAGTTCGGAATGGAGGTACTTGATTCTATGCAGAGGACTGGCACTTCTTCTGGGGGCGGGTAGGACCTCCTCCATGTCCAGGCTCCCTCGCGAATCCTCCGCCGACAAGGTACTTCTTGTCTTCAGCGATGCACTAGACATGCCGCTTGGCAGAAGCGCCATCTCCTGCACATCGCAGTTGATGGGGGCGGATGGACGCAACGATTCCAACAGCGTCCCCTCAGTGGCAAACCAATCACCGTCATCTTCCGCGCGAGCACTGCGCGGCCGGGGAGAAACACAGTCATCCTCCCACGAGGTCAGAGACGATGCGGCAAAACTGCTGCTTTTAGAATTGCACGCAGGTTCCGCGTCCTGCACCGTCGTTCGGCGTTGCTCGCTGCCGCCAACCACCTCCTCCAGCAGTTTTCGTGAAAGCGGTAGGGGACCCTTCGCCCTCAGCGGCACCTGCGGCTGGGTTGGGGTGGCGCACCGCCCCCTTGATGGCGTTTCCCGCGCCGCCTCAGTTCCTTCTTGGTGCACGGCGTGCGCCTCGTCCGGCGCCCCCGTCCCGCCCCCGGGTGTGGGGAGCGGCTCCATCGGGGCGGCAAAGGGCAACGGGGTGGCGTCCCCACCGCCGCGCGTGGCGGAAGCCGGGTGGGCAACCGACGCACAACACCTCGCCACTGCAGGAAGCCTGACCCAGGCAGCCCACTTGTTGAAGAACCTCCTCATGGCGTACGCGCGAACACCTCGCTGAAGGGTTTTGTACTTGTGTAACGTGGCACCTGGCGTCAGCAGCACCCCCTGACGCCTCTGCGCCGCCGCGCACTCCAGCAGAAGGTAGCGCGGAATCCAAGTCATCCGCTCCGCCAAGCCATCTTTTGTGTCTGATGGCAACGGGAACTCGCCTGCCAAAGCGACAGCAACACCCCCCGCTTCGCTCCCTCCCGGCGTAATGGTGGGCGATAAGTCCTCTTCAGCGCTTACCTCGGACGGAGCTGCACGGGCGGCGGCTGCCTCCACCATTGGCAACGTCTCTGCGCGCCAATAGGAAGGTGTGTCAACCACCTCTCCCACCTCCTCTGCGGGCAAGTTGTGTGGAGTGGAACCTGCATCTTCAGAAAATGGGTCTGAGGACCATTCGTGCAATGACTCCGCCATGTCTACGGGTGGAAGAGTGCGCTCCCTGTCGCCCTTGTCGCCTGACGCCGCAGCCGGCTGCAGCTCCTCGCGGCACGGCCCAGCTGTCCCTTCCTCTGCGCATGAGCCACTCTGAACGGGCGACCTCACCCCTCCTTCTTGCTTTCCCGCACTGGCACTGGCGTCGCAAGCGTCAGGATCCTCGGACAGAGCATCCTCCTCCGGCATTTCTTCAACCTCATCGACAGGAACCACGGCGCCCCCGCCACTGTCACCGCCCACCTCCGTTGAGGTGAGGAGAATTCCCTCCTTGTTACAGCTTGTGCTGAGCTGGCAAGCGCCAGCGTGGCAAACACCGTTTTCTGTAGCGGCCGCCTCGCTTCTTAACAGACGCTCCCGTGCCTTGGCTGCCCAGCTTCTTTTCGTGGCAGCGTTGATACCGTTACTTGAGTCCCACGCCGCATTCCCCCGTTTGGTCCGCGGGCTCTGCTTCGTCGTGTGCAGCGCACGGAGCTCCGACAGCGTTGGAACAGGTGGAACCTCACTTCGCCGCTGCGCGCCCCCTCCACTGTTGTGCCGATTCCCCTCTACGGTAACCCGCGCTGCTCCCGCCGCCGCATCTGTGCGCTCAAAATGTTGCGGGCGAGCAGCAGGGCCGCTCCGCAGTTTGGCAAGATTGAGTTTGCGCCTCACTTGTTCCACACGAAGGGTTGCGGCCCGTGTTCCCCGGGGTGTCAAGGGCGCAGCACAGCGTGCGGGCACCCACGCGTGGTCTTGAGGGTGCCGCAGCGCAGCACCGCCCACCGCCAGAGCAGAGGGCAGAACGGTGCCGTCGCCACGCCTCGATGTCAGTCTTGCGCCACCGGCGTCGGCAGATGTGCGTGGGGCGGCCGCACTCACCTGGTTAGTCAACTCCAGAGGGGACCGCGGGGGCTGGTTGCTGGGCGCCCCGGAGGCGTTGAACTCACGCAGCAGAATCGTGGAACGGGTGAGACGCGGCGAGCGCAGCAAACTTTGGTCGCGGGGAGGCGGCGGCACTGCGGGGTTTGCCCCCGCCCTTCTGCTGCGCGTGGGCGGGGAGCGCGCGGCGGACGAGGGACGGCTGCCTTCACCGCCCGCCTCCTGCCGCCGCAGCGGCCGAGGAACACTCGCGACTTGGCCGCGCGACGGCCCGCCAGAAGAAGGCGGCGCCGTGTCTGGTGAGTGGCCCCGTTCATCTGCTCCCCGCCCGTGACTCACGCACGACGCGGCGGCCGCTGGCTCCCGCGGGGAGGGTATTCGGAAGAAGAGCGGGTCCCATCGATAGTCGACGCCCATGTAGAGCCGCGGCGGTGGCTCCAAGCAGTGCGCCTGTGCCGTTGCCATGGGTGCTGAACTTTGCCTCGCCGTCTACGGCCTTGTGCCGCTCTCGTGTGCGGTGCAACGGGCAACGCCGCGGCGGTGCGGGACAAAAGGGCAACAGAGAAGGACACACACGGAGGGTACGGCGGAGCGGGTGGCGGGGAGCACGCAGAGAACGCACGCACACGCACACACATCATAAACAAAAACGTGAGAGGCACAGCCAGTGTGAGGGGGGCAGCGGCACATGCCGCGAGGGCGAGAATGACGAAAAAAATAACGACGACAGCAAAACAGGCACTCGGCTGAAGTCAATGCATGCGAAACACATACGAGTTTGCAAGGGTCGCGTTACGAATCCAGCGTGCCGGGTTGTAGGAGCTGCTGCGCTCCTCGAGACGAAGCACTCGGATGCAGAGACCCGAGACGCTATGATGTGGAATCTCGAACTGCATAGAGACGGGGCCAATGTCACGCCTCGTTGCGGCAGTGATGGGCGCTGAGGAGGAAAAGCGAATCTTGCACACCTGCTCCGTCCCCCCAGGGAACTTTCCAATGCTCCAGACCACGCACTTCTCCTCCTCTTTGTAGTCGTACGCCTGCCCCGTGGCCCCGAGGCCAAACTCCACGCTGGCGGCGGTGCAGCTCAAGGGCATGGGAACACTGACGCAGACGGCAATGCCGTGTGTGGAGGCAGGGAGGTCTGCCCGCATCTGCAGCGTCATTTCCGCGCGGTGCGTCGAGAGGAGCTCCATGGAGTGCACGAGACGAAACGGCGGCGTGCCCCTCCCACCCAGCCTGTACTTCATCAGCGTGAACTCCCCCTCCGGCGGCCGAATCGACAGCCGTCGCTCGCCCTCGAAGCCGGAGTAGTCGGCGTCCTCGTGGAAGCTCACGCTGTCAAGCACGACGGACGCGTACCGCTCACTGCCGGCGTCGCCCCGCCCCACCGCCAGGTCCTCGTTGAGGTGCAGATGCAGCGAGGGGGCGCCGGCGAGAAAACTCTTCATGACGATAGACCCGTCGACGTCCGACACCACCACCTCCCCTGCGCAGTTGAACACCACGTTGAGCCGCTCGAGGATGTCGATAAATATCTCGTTCTTCCGGTCACTCGAGGCCTGAAGAATGGAGTTGAGGGCGGCATCACCCCGACGTGTCCGCTCCAAGAACTCGCCGCGTCGCAGGCGCCCCAGGAACGAGTCCCCCGCGGGTGCATCGGGGTTCGCCACGGGGGCAACCTTGTTGAAGATGTACGGCCGCAGCCGCTCGGCGTTGAGCTCCTGCGGCACCCCTACGTCGAGCATCTCGTCCAGCAGTTCGTACACCAGGGTGAAATTCACGCGGATGCTTTCCTCCGAGAGGATGCCCAGGTAGTCCGTGATCACCTTGATGATCCGCAGCAGGATCTCCACGGTGAGGCTGGGCGAGACATTCACCACGGAGGTGCACACAAAGAGCAGCTCGCGTCGCTTGACGTAGCAGAAGTTCACGTGCTTTTCCATGAAGAAGGGCGGGCAGTCCCCCTCCGGCGCGTGCCGCTGCGCCCCGTCCCAGAACTTGTACTTGCGGAAGAAGAGCTCGTCGGCATTGCGCGGGGCGTCCTGCCGGTAGTCCTTAAAAACAAGTTTGTCCCCGCGCGGCGACAAGATAAATATCTGCGAGATAAACATCTCTGCAAGGCGATTTCAACTGCAGTCGGGGGCGCAGGCAAAAAGGGGGGAGAAAAAAAAAAACACACACACACCACACTCATACAGGGGCACAGACACAAAAGAGGCGGGGGCCGGGGGAAGAGTGGGGTGGGAGCCAAAGGAGACCATCCGCGCGTGGGGGCGTGGAGCAGCGGCGATGGCAGAGACAAGGGAACAAAAGACTGATCACGAACAGAACTCAAAATCAAAATCAAACTCCTCTAAATTGGTGCAAAGGACACGAGTCACGCGCTACTCCGGTGCCCCCACCTTTGCTGGCCCTCCTTTAGCTGCGGGCACTTTCACATAGCACTGCCGCAGCGCAGCCGTCATGCGGTCAATGTCCTTAGTTAGCTCACTATTCTTGTCAAGAATCAGCTGCAGCTGCTGGTCTGCCTTCTGAACGTCGTGCCGCCACTTCCGCACGAGTGTGCCCACCAGCTCAAGCGTCTGGTCCGCCTCCTCCTTCACCCTTGCCTCAGTCGCCCTGCAGGAACGCACGATGCGGCGGCGCGAGCTCGACGCCCAATACCACGTGAGAAGAAAGAAGATCAGACAGACTGCCGGGATGCTGTGCTCCTCCTTCCACGTGTGCTGCACAATCTCCACCGCGTGCGACTGAAAGGCGTTGAAGTCCCGCTGCTTCACCGCCCGCAGGATGTCGGCGGTGGGAATGGTGTACTCTTCCTTCGCCCCGGCCGCCGACGGCTTCGATGCGTCAGCGACGGGCGCGCGGTCATCACCGCGCGGCGCGGTGCCCTCGCTTTTGTCGGAGGAGCGGCGATAGCCACACAACAGCGGGAGGCCGGCGCGTCGCGTGTCCAACAGCACCCGGCGCATCTGCTCTCCCTCTCTTTTTCTCTCTCGCGTCCCCAGACGCACCCACCGCCTCCACCTACACGACTCTGTCAGTTACTAAAAAGTTTTTTCTATTTTAGTGTTTTCTGGCACAGCTGCCGCTGCTCCGGAGCTGCAGGCGACAAGCAAAGAAGGAAAGAGCAACGCCGTCGGGGGGGCGCAGTCAGCCGCGGCGGCAACCGGGGAACACGTCCCGGCGGCCGCTGCACAACAAAAACTGTGGGGATTAGACACGGCGGCGACAGCACCGGGGGAAAAAAAGAAATGAAAAAGCACCACGGCAGCGTTCAGCTCACTCGCTGCGCAATATCTGCACCTCGGAAGACCTCACCAGCACTGCGGCAAACGCGAAACTCGTCTCTGGCGGAAGGCGCACTACGGCCACGCTTTGCCCGCCTGCAAGCGACCATCGCACGATGTTCTCCTCGCAGTCCAAGTAGACTTTGACCACCGCGTGGGCGGTGAACGCGCAGCCAGACTTCTCCGTGCAAAGACCCCTAAAATTGTGAGCCACCCGTCCATCGTTCCAGTAGAGAGCCAAGCCCTCACAGCGGCCAATGCTGTCGATCCAATTCAGGCGGGCGCCCTCCGCCACAACCCCCACCGCCAGCGTCTCACACCGTGTCACCGCAAACGTAATGAAGTGCAGCCCGCTTGAGTAGAACGGACTCGCCGCCGCACAGACCACATCAGAGAAGAGCCTGTCGCTGCACGTGAGCGGGCGAAAGGGACCGGCGGCCGCAACGGGGTACCGCGACTCCCACGAGTGCTCCAAGCCGTAGAAGCGCGCCTCTGCGGAGCAAACCTCGCGGTAGTCTTCCGGAATGGGATTCCGATAGCCGCGGAGAAGGTTCATTAACATGCCAAAGAGGGTTGCATCCCTGCCTGGGATCTCAATCACGTCACCCACGCGGCGTCCGTCCCTGTTGTGCCGAAACCTTGACGCCGTCATTAGGAAAAGCACCGACTGCGGGTCATTTCGCAGCAACTCGCGATGGACAGAGAAGAGTTTGCCGTCGACGCGAAAGGTTACAATCTCCGGCACATGCTCGTCAAAGCTGACGAGCTCCCGCTGCAGCTCGCGCAATTTGGTGGCAATGCCCCCCAAGGCCGTGCTCGAGAGATGCGCGGTTGTGGCACCCGGTGAGGCCCTCCATTCCACCGCCGTACACGCCGCAGCCGCCTCCTCGTCCGAATCTGCGTGCATGCCTGTAACAAGCGATACGTCGCCAAAAAAGCCTGCGACACCGCCCCTTCCCCTTCGTTGCCCAAAGACAAAAAAAAAAGCAGAACAATTTCCCCGTCCAAAACAGTGTACAGGCCCCTGTTCAAACCAGCCATAACACCCAGACACCCACTCCTCCCTCTGCGACGCCAGCAGCACTACCAGAGCCGATTTAATTATTCATTAACGTTATGAACCGTGTGACTCCAACGACGTTCGGAACGTCGCGGGTATCTAAAACGGCCTAACTCTAACGATTGGGAAGCCACGGTGGAAATCTTCCGGTGAGGCGTGCTTTTTGACGGTTATAGACATCGGTGGGGACACAAAGTCGGGCAACTGGAGAACAAACTCCGTTGACTCGCCGCCCTTCTCCACGCCCCCCTCGTTGGGACGCCGCGGGGGCAGAACAACCGTGTGGCACTCCCCATCAGCCACGTCAAGGGCATCATTCGCAGCCGTTGCCGCGTTGTGAACCACAACAGCCAGTGCACGTCGGACGGTGCTGGAATTGGCAACCTGGGTGCGGAAAAAATCCTTCACCTTTGCAGCGTCCAGCTGCCTCAGCTCCTCAATCTCGAGCTCCTTGTACGCAAAGTCCACGGGATGCAGGTGACGGTTGAGGAGATCAGCCGCGTCCTCTTCCACGGAGTTCGGCAGCTTCCGGCGCCGCTCGATGAGGCCATTCACGACCGTTTTCACCTCCGCCTCCTCGCACACCGTCTCCAGCTTCTCTTCCACCGCCGCCAAGAAGGCGATGATGCGTGAGAGAAGGTACGCCCCATCGACTCCCTCCAGCGCGCTTTGGGCGACAAACTGCAGGTGTGCCGTGCCCTCCAGCCGCGAGGATTCTGCAAAAACAACATACCCGAGGGCCTCCCTCGTGCGAAGGGCAGCAAAAAAACTGGAAGAGATCAGCTGCCGCGTACAGTCAGACAGGGCCCGAAGAAGTGGGGTCTCCTCGCCAAGGTAGAAGTCAAGCAGCACCGCGACGTTGGGGTTGGCCGCCTCAAACGGAGGGTAAAGCAGCACGTCCACGGGCGAGGCATGCGGTGAGGAAGGGACGCGGGGGAAGGCGTACTTGTCGCGGAATGGCGGGATGCTTTCCCTACAAGCGGGTGGAACATTCAAGCGAGAGAGCACCTCCTGCGCAGCTTCAATCAGGCGATGCTGAACGTAGTCCACCGACGGCACATTTCCCGCAACACAGCACTCAAAGTACACGCCAGTTGCCAGGTACTCCCTGACAAATGCTTGGTATTCCGAGTACGACGCGGAAGCGGCGGCCTCAATCATCTCCTCAAACGTGTATAAAATGACACTCGTTGCCTTCATGAATCGATCAATTGCCATCATGTACGGCTGTCTTGACTTGAGGCTCTGAAGCCTTCTGAGTTCCACCTCTGCGTAGTTGCTGTACCTTTCCACAGAACCACAAAGAACGGTGGAGGTAAACGACTTCTCCAGTACGGCGAGGAGGAACTCCACAATGCGGTGCTGAGGACCTGTGGCGCCGAGAAGCAGGCCCCCTGCACCCAGTTGGAAGTCATTTTCAATCGCCGCCAGCAACCCAAAGTAGCTCACCTCAGCGAGGGCGTCACTCAAGATGGCCTTCAAAACACGCATGTAGTACCGGTTCCTTGGCGAGGCGTAGGCGCAGGGGGAAAGCAGGTTCCAATACGTTGACGTCTTGAACGACCTGTGGTGCCCCTCGTCCTTCCGCACCAGCGTCACCCCATACCGGGTGTGAAATTTTTCGACGGTGGCGTGACTGTCACCGCCCCCGTACACCGTGAATTCCGTCGCGAGGAACGGGTTGGCGGGCGGCAGCGCCAGCGCGGGGTGCCGCGGCCCGCGGCGACTGGCAGCCCAGCCTGCGAGTACCGCCGCAGGAACGCGACACCTGGCAAATTTCGTCTTGTGAAAGCGTGTGGCGGAGTTGCAGGCGACTTGCGCAAACTCAGGCAGGCTGTGAAACAAACCCAACGCTGCCTCCTCCTCTGCCTCCTCTGCCTCTTCTGCCTCTTCTGCCTCCTCGCAACCGCCCTCGTCGACGCCCTTTTCTGCGCCGGTGGAGAAGTTAGGCAGCTCCGCACCGTCGCAGGGCATATCTCCCCACGCCAGTATCACAATGCCGTTTTCAGGCGTCAGTTGTGCCGTGTACGCCTCCGCAGCGGCGATGTCGTCAGTGAGCAGCACATCCCCGGCGATCCAGCAGTGCTGCAGATCTGCTTCATTCGCGGAACCCGTCAGAGCGACACAGTGATCCGCGGCCCCAGATATGTCGGATGACTCAAAGGCGAGCTTTGCCTCCGCCTTCATCTGGGCATAAACCACATTGTCCACGCGGGACGCCTGACCAATGCCCTGGTACAGGATATCTATCACATCTAGGATGCGCCTGAAGCCGTGCATCGTCAGCTCCATCTCCGCAACAAGTACCTCGTGATCGTCATCTACGCGGCGGGGCCCAACAACCATCGCGGTGGCCATGTGCTCGCGTCGCAGGACGCCAAGTACCGACGACCCACACTCGTGCCCGATAACATGGGACACGTACGCGCCCGGCATTGACCGCCACGAAGCAGCCGAGGACTTTACAGGCCAAAGAACACGAAGTGTTCTCTTCTTCTTGAGGGTTTGGAGATTAAGCCACAATCCCCTCGTCTCAGGGGCGAACAGGGGGTCTTCGGTTGGCAGGAATCGACGGGCAGCGGGTGCCCCCACGCGCATCTTCGCCAACGGGGCCTCAATAATGCGAAGAACCGCCTCCGGTGGCAACGCACTGTACACCGCCAGGCAAGCTGCTCCCGAGACGTAATACGTGTCAAAGAACTTCACCAACTCGGCCCGGATGTCCACATTATTCGCCTGAGGCTCGTCCCGAAGTGTAGTGATGTTGCCGTTGCCGTAGCGGTGGCATGGGTGTCGGGGATCAAACAGGGAGCTCTCAAGTTCGTCGATACGCCAATATTCCACGCTGTGGTTCTTTTCATCCTCACTGTGCACCGCCTGTACCTCCCGCGACAGGGCACTGGGGGTGAAACTCGGGGCAACGAAAAACTCAACAAAACGCTCCAGTGCCCCCTCCAACGCATCTTGTGCCACAGTGAAGTAGTAACTCGTAGTTCCGCCCGCGGTCCAGGCGTTGTGGTGGCCCCCATTCTTGGCAATGTAGGCATCAAACTCGTCTTCACCGGGGTACTTGGCGGTGCCAATGAAGAGCATGTGCTCACAGAAGTGCGCCAGACCAGGGAGAAATTCCGGGTCGTTGAGCTTCCCGGCGCCAATGCTCATCGCGGCCGCAGGGATCTTGGCATTCTCATCTTGAACAATGACGCACTTCACACCGTTCTCAAGTATGAACCCAAAGTGGCGGGCACGCAGAACGGATGGGGTGATTATCTGAACTGCCTCTCGTGCATGGGTCATCCTTTCTAGGGGCCCCACACATGCAGAACGTGTGGAGGAAAGAGTGAAAAAAAAAAAAAGGAAATGAAAAAAAAATATTAATAATAATAATTAGTAAATAAGCAGCTCTCCTGAGGCAGCGCGGGGTCTACCAGTCGTTACGCATCACCACCACTCAGCAGTGGATGCTTCCACACACACACACACGCACATGAGCATAATTTCGTTATCCCGTGTTTGTGTATGTATGTGTGTGTTTTGTTTTGCGCATCCTCGCACCACAGCGAGAGGTGCCACCAAGCAGCTACGTCTCCCTTCGCCACTCCTCAATTCCTCCGCAGCGGATCCACGTTGGGAGTCCCGCCCAGTGAAAAAGGACCGCCCAGAGTGCCACCAAACTCCGCATCCTGCACCGCATGAACAGAGTCCGGCGGCGTGTTGAGTTTCTCCTGAAACCCTCGCGTCTGTGCAGGCGCGACTTTCGCGCGGCCCTCGTCACTCGCCGCAACCCACTCAACCGTTGGCGACGCCCTTGGCAGGGGAAATACCCAGAGGAGGAAAAAGCGCACGACCACAAACGCGGCCGCCCACAACACACCGAGACGCAAGAGGGTCTGTGTCCGGCTGTCGACGTAGTTCTCCGTCGTGGACCCAGGCCGCTCGTAGACGTACATCCCCATTCGTGCGTCCCAGCCATACCCCTTGCCATCCGTGGGGGCCTTGTTCGCCTCCGGCGGCTGCCACTTGCCGCTCCGCAGCGCCTCATACGCCTCATTCACAGCCTGAAACCGCGCCGTGGATCCCTCAGGGCCGCCGTCGGGGTGGTACCGCAGCGCTAGCCGATGGTAGGCCCGCTTTATCTCCTCCTTACTCGCGTTTGGGGAGAGACCCAAGATGCGGTAAGGGTCGAACGGCCCCTGCTCCGCTGCTCGCAGCAAGCGCCACGAGCGACGCATCGGCTGAGGCAACTTCTGCCTAAAAGAGAGGACGGAAATCAGCTCAAAGGCGAACACGCAAACGAGAGAAGGCGGAAAAGAAAAAAAACAACAACAACAACAAGAAAACACACACCCACACACATGCAACTAGACAAGTAAAAGAAGATAGGCGCCCCTGTCACACCCCTTTTTTTTTATGCTGTCTTCTTCTGCCTCTTTTCGCCTTCCCTCTCTGCGTCCGTGCGTGTGTGGGTCTCGGAAACGTGCCACTCACTCCCGTGGATTCCCCGTGCAGGAAGGGAGAAGTCGTTCATCCACACCCACAAGGCGGCCAACGCCGCGGAGAAACAGCTCGAGCAGGTTGTCGTCCCCGGCGCCGTTCGCTAAAGTGTTCCTCATCAGTTGGGTGGTGTCACACGGATGCAGGCCCCACACCGCCATCTGCAACTCCTCACTGAACGCCATTGAAACGACTGGGGCTTCATAGTCCTGCCGTTCCACCACACCGTAGCACACTTCGCACAGCCACGTGGACATCTCTCGTGGGCTCATCGGACGCTCCGGAGCAAAGTAGAGCTGCGGCTGGCAGTAGCACTCACTGTAGGTGATAAAGTACGAGACGAGGAGCTGCTCTGCATGGCCGCGCGGCAGGCCGCGGTGAAGCGTGCTGGAGCCCTCAAGCCATGCGAGGGCTCGACCGAAAGGATCAGTCTTGCGGCAGGTGCGCCACCCCAGGCCGCGCCGTGAAAGTTTCTCCAGCATCTCGTCAAACTCGTCCCGTGTGCAAGTCAAAGGGTCCATGAAGCGCCTTCGACCGCGGGCTGGCTGTGGGGAGAGGGGAGAAACCAGCCACAGCCAGTGGCGCACACTGTGCAGGAAGAAGGGGGGAGAGCCGTCCATTGCAGTCTACGAGCCCAACAAGACAATAAATAACACACACAAGCACACAAGCAGACGGAAGCGCAGAAAGACAACAAAAGGAAACGACATATATATATGTTTCCATGGGAACACTGAAACTATTTATATCTGCTGCTCAAAGAACCCAGTGCCAAAAGTATGGGCTAAGTGTCGCCTGTAGTATCCTCCGCTTCGTGTCTAGCGATTAACAAAGGGCAGATCGCCACCCGCACAGATAGTTTGTGAGATTGTGCTTTGAGAATTGGAGCAGTCCATCAGGGAAGCATGTGGAAACGGAACCCCACGAAGCAGGAAAGAAAACCGCCACCTCCGTTAGAGGCTTCAGACCATCCTTTACAAAGTGCATCAAGGCCAGCAGTAGGAAAGGCTAGGCAACGCCCAGACCCCGACAGGGCCCAAAGGAAACCAGACGGTTTCCCAATACAGAGAGAGAGCGAGAGGTCACCTTGCAAAAAATAATCCCACTATACACGGCAATGAATGAGGGGGTGGGAACACAGACCTTCTATTGCCTCTCTGCCTCTTCCCTTCCCGGCACCCCATGGGGAGACGCTACACGAACCCGACTTCGTTCGGGTGCCCTTCATCTCCTGTCGACCATGAAATGATGCAGCGACGCCACTTCGCCCTCCTCACAGTTGCCCCTGCGGAAAGGAGAGCAAAAAATTCACATCGGCACTAGACTGCTGTTGACGCACTGTGCTCTAACAAGGACGGCACATCCATTTAGCACGAGATGGGAGGAAACAGATACTCACGTCAATGAGACATAAAGAAAAAGCAAAAGCAAAAGCAAAAAAGAAAAGCACCCACACGCTGAAGGCCCAAATTAAAAAAGAGCGCCCACACACACACACACACAGAAAGCTCAAAATTAAAAAAAACGACATTTTATTTCCTTGTATTTTGTGTGCATGAGAAATTTGCATTCCCAGCAATCTCCAAAGACTTGGCAGCCTTCGGTGAGATATCCTTCACCAGGGTGCAGCACGGCAGCAGAATGCCAATGAAATATCTAGTTGAAAAACAAAGAGCAACACTTGATTTCAGGTGTCCGCGGCTTATCTGCCTTCCGCTCTACCGACGTCAACAATTCCTCCTTTGAAGGCTCATTTAATACGTGGTCGGTAAAGATCCCGGTGAAACGGTGATTCCATCGCTGGGGATCCGACACCACGGCGGCCTCAGCAAAGGAGCTGTTCTTGGAGACAGGGATCCCCCCAGAGACATCTGGGAGGGGCATGTCCGGGAGCGCGCCGCGCCTTTGCGCAATCCGCTTCTCCACATTCTGCAACTCCGTGGGATCCGACGTGGACACCCGCGATCCATTGAGACTCGCGTCCTGGTGAAAAGAAGACATAGACTGCAGGGGTAAAAAAAAGGGAGAGAGCCACGTACACGCACAAGCACATAATGGAGAGACGAAGACAGCGTCGGCAAAACATCCTCATATGGGCAAAGAATATAATAACCGGGGAGAAGAGATAGGGAGCTGCCCGCTGGCTCATCCAGTGATTTTGTGCAACCGGGGCAAATTAAAGGCAATTTTGCCCAAGTATCTCAGGCTTAAGCATTTGTAGGGATAGAGATAAAAAAGAAAAGAAAAACAAGAAACTATACAGCAAGTATATTTTCCCCTCCCGCACATACACACCCATGCACTCTATCTATAACTTTACACTGCGGCAGCTGCTGTGGTGGTGGGGGGAAAACAGTGATGGAGATTCCGTTTAATCTCTTTTTTTTTTCGCAATCTTTCTCCGGCTTACGCCTTCAATTTTTCTTCTAGCAGTGACACTTCGCCTTGTCCTTCGTTTTCTTCTTCTTGCCCATACTAGCAGCCGCCTCCTTGTCAGCCCGTGCCTTCTGCGCGGCGGCCTCCCGCTCGGCGTCCACGCGGGCCTGCCTTTCCTTTTCCAGTTCCTGCTGCAGGGATGCCAATTGCTCGCGGAGCTCTTCCAACTCCGTTGAAAACCCGTTGGGGGCAACAGAAGCCGTCCCGGCTCCGACCCCGATTTCTTTCGCTACATGCACTGGAAGCAGCCTTGCCTCCGCCGGACCCACTGCTTGCGGTGGCAAGCCGTTCGCGCGTTGGAGTGGCTCCTCTTTATTCCACTCGGCTGCCGGCTCACCTCGCGCCGACGCCCCCGCTGCCTCCGCCTCCCTCGGCTCCTTGTTGGCCTTTGGCAAGACACCGATCTGGTTCGGGGCGCCGGAGCTGATGTGCCCATCAATCTTGGGGGAAGTTCCCTGTTTCGGCTTCAGCGACGCTGTCGTTGCGAGGGCGCGCTGCTTTTGCTCCTCAGACTCCTTCAGTAGTGCTCGCGTCTCATTCAACTCGGCCTGAAGCTTTTCCACCAACGCAGAATCACCGGCCGACGTCGTTTCTGCCGCGTCCCTTGGGGCCCGCGCGCTACTGAGGTGTTCTGCTCTGTCTTCTGTTCGGGGGGCGCGCGTCGCATCGTGCGGTTGCTGCTCTCGCAGCTCGCGCATTTGCTGCCTGCACTGCGCGTCCAGGCGTGCGCACCAGTCCTTTAGGAACGCTATTTCCTTGTCCGCCGTCGCCCGCAGCTCATCCCGTTCCTGCCGAGCCGCCCCCGCCTCCGCCTTGTACCGCTTTGCCTCTTCCTCCGCCTGCCTCAGCTTCTCTATCGGGGAACCATCATTCTGGGCGCGGTGCGCCTGCGTGGCAAGGTCTTCAAACGTCCTTCGCATTCTCGTTTCTTCCTGTAGATGGTCTTTCAAGGCAGCATTTTCATCTCGGACTTGTTTCAATGCGGTTGCCTGCTGTTCTAGCTGGCCGCGCAGCGAGTGAACCTCGTCCTGGTTGTCCCGCGAGGGATTCGTCGCGGCCTGCAAAGGCTGCTGCGAGGACTTGGGCTCCGTCTTCGCCACAGCGTCGCCCAAATTGTTTGCGCGAATTGACTTTCGTTGTGGTTGTTTTCGCTGCCCCTCCGCCGGCTTGGGGGGCAGGGCGTTACGGGCCCGCGTCGGCAGCGCGTCCTTCTCCGCCCGCAACTGCTTGCATGTGGCCTCTAACGCCGCATTTTCCTTTTGGGCGGCACTTAGCTGCTCTCGAAGAGACCTCAGCTGCTCTTCCTTCTCGCCCAACCTCACCTGCTCCTCCTCCGCCTCCCCTCTCAGTCGTCGCAGCTCCTCCGCCATCTCCGCCACCCGCCGCCGCATGTCGTTTATTCCCTTTTCCAGAGACGCTGCGCGCTCCTCGGCGACCTTGCGCATGGCAGCCTCGTCATTTGCCCGCTTCACCTCACGCAGGAGACTCTCCTCCACAGTTCGATGCATCTGCCTCGTTTTTTCAATCTCGGCTTGGGCGTCGGAGGCGTCATCTTGGGCACGGCGAAGCTGGGAGCGGAGTTCCATCTCGAGCTTTTGGGCCACCGCCATCGTCTTCTGGGGACTCTCCACCCCCTCGGCGGGGGAGGCCCGGGCCGCCGCCGCGTCCGGCTTCTGCGTAACGGAGACAAGGGCCTCCTTCCCGCCACGCGGCCCCACCGACGCCTCCCGTGACTCCACCCTCGGGCGTGCGTTCGCCGCGGAGCAGCGTCGATTCAGAGCGGCCTCTGCGGCCCTCCGCGCAGCCTCTTCGGCGGCGACGCGTTCGCGTTCGGCTTCCAGCGCCTCCTGCCGGAGAAACTCGGCCCTCTCCTCATCGTCCATGTACTGCATGCGCTCACAGCGCTCCAGCGCGCGAAAACTCATCCAGTCGTCATGCTCCAGACGCTCAAGCTTCGAGCGCGCGGCACGTTCGCGTTCCTCCTGCATGTAGCGAATCACCCGCTGCTTACGCCGGGACTCGTCCAGGGTATGTGCGTCATCGCGCACGCTGGAGCGGCAACTCAGGCGGCTGCCGTGCCGAATGGAGCCTTGGCTACCCCGCAGTTCGCCAAAGCTCGTGGCACTTCCACAGGACCCAGCCCTGTAACTAAAATAGGGGTTCCATGACACATCCGGATCATCGCGTGTGGCGACGCCAATCCCGGCCACGTGATCGCTTTCCATGTCCTCCTCAAATGCCTAACAGCCGCCTTTACCTTCTTCCCTTTTCCGCTCTCCCCCTCCCTTGCGCTCGGGCGCGGAATGAAGCAAACCCACGGAATAAACAAGGCAAGGAAATGTCGTCTCACTCGAGACCCGCGCGCACACGCGCCAGTCCCCTTAGGCGAGAAAAGCAGCAGGAGCAAGAAGGCGAAGCCAAGCACCGAGGCATCCGTGCTTTTTGCGGGCGAGGCCTGAAAGCATGGGGCGATATGCAGGGCTCCACTCGCCCCCTCCGGCGTTACTGCCAACTTTTTAAGCATTCACCTTCTGTATACACGGGGAGCAAAGAAGTGCCCGTCCCACTTGGGAGTGGCACACAAGCCTCACTTTATACCTCAATGAAAACTGACACACACACATAAAAAAAGAAAAAGAAAAAAACGGCTACTTCTTCAAGCTACGAAACAGTTTTAGTAACCCTGCCCACCGTGTTCACATGGAGGCGTCTTCTCACGCAGTTTATCGCTCCATTTTCCTCCGTCCATGCACGGAGTCGTCGGTTGTATGCTCCGTTCGCACCTGTTCAGGCGCAATGCCGTTGACCCTGCAAAGTTCCATGCCGCGCCGTCGCCAAATCGGAGGTTGCTCCGCAAGTGCCCTCAACACCATCGCACACGCAAGCGCAGACAGCGCCCGAGAAACAACTGTGGAGGCACGCGACATCCCCAACGAAGCGTTCAAACTGCCGAAGCAGCGGCGGACACCACCGTCGTTCCGTGCCGCGGGGGCGGCCGCCGCTCAAACAAACAGGCTTCCATTAAAGCCACCAATGACACGAACAGCCTCGTACATAACAAGGCCCACCACCGCACGGGCAGCAAGAAGGAGCGCCCTGGCAATTACGGTAACAATGAGGGCCCACAACGTCCTAAAAAAAGAGAGAGAAAGAGAGAGGCAAAAAAAAAAGAATGGCTCGTTTCAGGAGAGGCGATGCAGTGCGAGGAAAACACCAGTCGAAGTTAGGTGGCATTTCTCCCCGTGTTGTACGACGCCTGCGCGTTGACAACCACATCTTGAATTGGTTTGTATTGGATTCGAAAGAGATTTATTACGGCACACCCGAGCGCGCCGCTTGCAATGCGAGCGCCAAAAAGGTATGATGTGCGATGAGAACCCGCACACGCAGGAAAACGACGAGATAAATGGCCGCGTAAAGAGGAGAGGCAAGGCCAACAGAAGGTCTTTTGCCCGAAATGGAGTATACGGCTTCGGCAGAAAAGACTCTCTGAGTCAAAGACTTCCCACTTCCTCTCCAACACGGCTCACGTTTCGAGAAACATTCCCTTCAACACATTATGGCACCACGTGACACGTACGGGTAGTGGAATAATTATCAGCGAGGGCAAAAAAAACAGCAACAGGGAGAAACTAACCCGAGAGACTTCGCTGTGCAACGTTGTGTAGTACACTGCCATCGAATGGACAGCAGAAGCGAGGGCGTAACTCTGCAGCACACATGGTGTGCGAATGCGTTGTGCAAGCCGCATCCACCGACAGTTCCTTCCCTACCAGCAAGAGGAAATCGCGCCCGTACCGCCCCCTTCCCCCTTCCCCCACCCCCACACACGGGGCCGCCTATAAACCGAGAGACACCGCAACTGCCCCAAAGTGCGAATATAAAGGCGGTCTCGCCCAGAGGAAGCCCCAAAACATCCTGCAATGAGTCGAGTTCCATCAGTTTATAACACAACAACGACAACACCAAGTGCAATACCGCGCCAATCGCCAAAATGATGCCCACTGCAAAAAAGAACGACGATCCAGGCGTTTAGTCTGCCGGGGTGTTGTTCGAAATTGCATAAGACGTGCATGCCCTGAAGCATAGCAGAGAGCTCCAAAAACAGGCGTCAGCGGCTCCAGCCGCCGCCTCACCACACGGCGAATGCATCCCAGAAGCATTCCCTCAGTAGACCCAATCATGCAGAATCGCCCATACTCCAACGTTGGGCGCCAGATGCCAAAGAAGGAATTTTGGGTGAAAAAGAACTACGTTGTTGGCGGATTCACGACAGAAAGCCTGTGAGGCTGAAGGTGTTGTAACTTCCAGGAACGGCTCCAGCAGCGTCGCGGGACGCCTCCACGACTTTCTTTAAATGATGCACCCAAAAAAAGTTATGGTCTCCGAGGCATAAAAGCGGATTCCGCCCGGTGGAATGCCCGCAGCTGTCACGAGAAGCTACCTCCCTCATGCACGTCTGCTCTCCTACCGCCAAGCGTCCCGCGGGAGAGGCTGCGGTGGAGCTCCGTCAGCATGACCAGTGTAAGGGCGACCTGTAAAAGGAGAAACAAAACAACAACAACAACAGCAACGGACCTCTCTCGGCGGGCAACACAGACGGGGCAGAGCGCACAGATAAAACACGGGAAGGGAACGAACATGTCTCAACACAAGTTGTTGATTACCATGCGTACTATTGTGGATGGGCTTTCACGCGCACTTCCCAAAAAGCTGGTATTTTGTCTCAGTTTTGTGTGTGTGTGTGTGTGTGCGTTTTTGCGTATATGCGTGGACGGAAGGGGGAGGGGGGGGGGTACATCCCCTTTTTGCCACCAAATGCATTCCAGACGTGACCTTACGGTGCTGCCTATGATGGCGGAGTAATATTGGCGAGCAGGTGGCCCCCGCCCGCCGTCTCGCCTTCCCTCACGCAAAACTCCAACTCACCCTCACAGGTCGCCCTGACAAAGTGCTCCATTTTCATCGCCTCAAGCATGAGAATTGGCTGACCCTGCTTGACCGTCGCACCGTTGGGCACAAGCAGCTTGGTCACCTTCCCCGGCATGGGGCTCACCACACGCGCCGACCCGGCTTCCTGCAGGGCCGCATTGCCAAAGTCTTCAGCCAGCGACGGTAGCTTTAAGGTATAAAAGCCCTCTGGCAGAACCAAGGCAATCTCCTTGCTTGCCACAACAGAAGTACAATCAAAGCGGCACCCGTCATCCATCCTTACGGAGAAGGCAAAGGTGTCATTGTTTATGGGGCTCCATTGCTCCACCGTAATCCTGCAGCGGTCACCATCAACGTCGCAAAGGAAATGACCGTCACAAGAAACATTCACCGTTACAGTGACAGGGCGACCATCTATAAGAAACGCAACACGTTGAACGAGTGCATGGTTTAAGCGAAATGCAGATGTGGCGGATCCACAGCTGTTCAAAAAGGATACGGCACCCAATGCGAGAACAGGCTTCCTGAGAGGTTGCTTTTGGAGCAGGTAAGTTAGGTTCTTCTCAATAAAATTCGTCGTCACGCCACCTTCGATAAAGGCGGAATTCTGTAGGCAGCGCTTGAGAAACTCAACGTTTGTCTGTACACCAACGATGTGGTAGTCGTCCAAGGCCGTACGCATTCCTTCGAGCGCCTTGGAGCGATCCTCGCCCCAAACCACCAGCTTTGCAATCATGGGATCGTAGTGGAGAAGCACCTCGTCTCCAGGACGGAAGCCTGTGTCGAGTCGGACCTTTGTGCCTCCATGCATGCCCTGTGGCGGTTCCTGAATGTATTCCAGCCTTCCACTGCCCGGCAAAAACCCATTCTCAGGGGATTCTGCGTATATTCGACTCTCCACGCATGCCCCATGAATCAAAATATCCTCCTGCGTGAATCCCAAGGGAGTCCCTGCGGCCGTTTCTAGCTGCAGACGCACAAGGTCCAGAGGTTTTCCTTGGATGCGGCATATCTCTTCCGTCACCGGGTGCTCCACCTGCAGCCGCGTGTTCATTTCCATGAAAAAAAAAGTGTTGTTGTCGGTGTCGAAAATAAACTCCACCGTCCCCGCGCCAACGTACCCAACCGCCTTTGCCGCCGTCAAGGAGACCTTCCCAATTTGCTGCCGCATTTCGGCAGATAAATGAGGTGCCGGGGCCTCTTCAATCACCTTTTGGTGCCGCCTTTGAACACTGCAGTCGCGTTCAAAGAAAAACACCCCGTTTCCAAATTTGTCAAAGAAGATCTGACACTCAATGTGGCGTGGCTGCGTGATGTAACGCTCCAGCAGGACCCGGTCATCCTTAAAGAAATTCATGGCCTCACGCTTTGCGCTTTCCAACATGATTTCGAACTCCTCCACATCCCGCACAATCTTCATACCCTTCCCACCACCGCCTGAAACAGCCTTGATGAGTACGGGAAAGCCAATCTTCTTTGCCTCATCAAACAAGCGCTCAAACGACTGGTCCTCGCCATAGTAGCCTGGCACGACGGGAACCCCTGCGGCTTCCATGATGCGCTTGCTTTCGCTCTTGGAACCCATTGAGGCCATGGCCGAGGCCGGGGGTCCGATAAACTCTATCCCCGATCCTGCAACGGCGGCGGCAAACTCCGGGCTTTCTGAAAGAAATCCGTACCCCGGATGCACTGCGTCGGCGCGAAGCCTCCTTGCTGCCTCAATAATCCGTTCGCCCCGAAGGTAGGACAGTGTGGCGGGTGGTGGGCCCAGTACAAAGGCCTCATCCGCCTCCTGTACGTGCCTCGCATTCAACTCACACTCGCAGCAAACCGCCACAGTCTTTATGCTCATCTCTCGGCAGGTGCGGAATATGCGGCACGCAATTTCGCCACGATTCGCCACCAGGACCTTCTTGAGGCCCGCGCGGCAGAACCTTGTGCGGCTAAGCATTGAAATATATTCTTCTTTGATGGTTACTGGAGTAAACATCAAAAAACAGAAAACAAAAAAAAGAATAAACAAACACACGCATCGTTTTTCTGCAGCCGTAAGGGCACAAAAATACACACATAGACACATTTGCATTGCATTTTACGCAGCAATCGGTGCGCTTTATTTCCAGGCGTGCGAGGCGGGGGAGCACGAGGAATCGGGAGCTGAGGGGCAGAGGAGAGCGGCAACCCTGACCCAAGCGCCGCCCGCTCCACCGCATCCAAGTTTGTCTATGAACTAACCCGTTGAATGGGCGCGGCACCAGGTTCCTCCTCAATGACCGGATGGACGGCCATGAAGCGCTCCGCGTCCTCCAAGTCCCGACGCAGCAGAGAGGCGCGTTTTGACAGTGAGTCTTGCTCGATGCCTCGAAGAAGGTAGGCCACACTTCCACGATGATATTTTTTACCGTAAAACGCCCGACAGAGGGCGGAGGCCTCCTCAATGAGGCACCGCGCTCGATCGCCTCTCCACTCAAAGGGGTCAACCGGCAAGAGCCCTTCGCCTAACACGCTCATTTTCACGTGCATCACCGAATCCTTGATCGCCGGCGTGGTTGCCGGAAGAAGGCGCACACGCGAGTGCCGCTCAGCACTGCCCTCAAGCACCTCACGAATGAGTGGATGCAGTCCATCGGTGCAGAAACCCGAGCTGCCTTTTTGTCCCCGCCGGATGGCTCTCCACGCGATGAGGTTACTATTCGTGTGCCACATGTGGATCACCACCCCGAGCCCCAGCACAATCACGACGTCATTCAGTCCAAACACCTTTTCAATGAGCTCTCTCTTGGGGTGGAAAACGCCGGACTCTTCATCGAAGAGAACTGCCATTCGATTCGGGTCCTCCACCATCAACGCAGCGGCGAGCGACGACCCCTTCGCCGAGGTGATAATGGCCTCAGCTTCCGTCTCCAGGCCGTACATCTTCCGCAGGCTCCACGCCCCACTCCCGTCACCGCTCTCAAACGCGTCAAAGGCCTCCGTTCCCCAACTTATGCCTCCGCCAAAACGCAAGAATTCGGTCCGCAGCATTCGAAGCAGCGAGCCCTCTTGGCAGTGGTACACCGCCTCTCCGTCTGCGCAGCCTGGAAACACCGCGCTCTCCTTGATGACCTCGAGGTTGGGCCGTAGGAAACGCCACCCTTTGGCTCTTTGCAGAATACCCTCAATCCTGGTTGTAGTGCAGCCCAAGTCCGTCAGCAGCTTCACCGTCTGCGCGGTGCAGACGCAGCGTCTCCGCAGCGAAAGCTCATAGCTTGGGTCCACGCGTTTCTCGATAAGCAGAACGTTTGACTCACGCCAGCGCATGCCAATCCCCATCGCATACGCTCCGACGCCGCTGCCGATAAGAAGCACCTTACCCCATGGCTTCACCGCGTACATTCCTGTTCCGCCTGGCCAAGCGGAAACCACACACGCACACACACAAAGAAGAAGAAGAACGAAAGAGGAGAAGAATACGCGTGCCAACAACGACAAAAAAAAACGACAGCAGCAGCGGCGTCCTGGTTGAGGGCGTCTCCCAACCGTCCTCTCCTTTCAGAAGCACACAGACGCCCTCAAACGCACTTACGATCCAGAGGGAAACACACACACAACACGCATGACCTCACAAAAACAGCGGCACACGCCAAACACGCATCATCGCTTGATCTCTTGTACCACAACCAATACATACTCTTTTTCTACATCCGGTGCAACCAGAATGTCTGTCAGACCAACACTCAGACGAAGGAAGGTGAGCTCATCCTTGCAGTCGATAGTTCGAACCGTCGAGTACGCCAAGCTTGTAAATCCGTTGATTTTATCCCCATACTTTCGCATTTTTCTCTCGTCCCCATCAAAACCGGAGTATTTTAAGAGGCTTCCATCGACGGGATTCAACACAAGATACCCCACCACGCCTTCATGGGAGGCGATGCGCAAAAGTATCTCCTCCACGCACTTCACGCGCTGTTCCCGCTCACGTGCAGCCTGCGTCTCATTCACTTCCATGACATCAACGGTCCTTCCCACCCTTCTGCGCCAGAGCAAGCAGATAAAAAATAAGAACAGAAAAGAGGAGAGAAGCCTGGTCGGTCCCTCACAAACACATCAGCACGCACACGCACATGCACCGGCCCCCTTCATCCACCCCCCTCCTCAGGAGGGAAGTAGGAAAACAATCAAAAATGTGCAAGCTCTACATAAAGGGAAGAAACACCCTCTCAACACACAGTGGAGCTGCCATCCCCCAGCCTCCTTGTTTCATCCCTCTTTTTTTTTTATTTATTTTGCTCTTTTTACATCACGACACTGTCTTCTTTGATACAACAGCAAACGACGGAAAAGTGCGCTCTCGAAGACGATCAACCTCGCGCTTTAACCGTACGAGTTCCTCCTGTTGGCAGCGTGCCAGTTCCTCCAATTCGCTATTTTCGTACAGCTCCCTCATTCGTTCTTGAAGGCGTGTTGAGTCGTTGTTGTGCTCACCCAGCATGTCCCAAACTGCTTTTTTGTCATCCACAACACTCTTGATGCGTTGAACCTGGTCACCCAATAGGGTGTTTTCCAACTGCCTATCGTTGATCTGCATGTGTAATCGCGTAATAACCTTGTTGCGTTCTTCTACTCTTTTTGACATCACCTGCCGGACGTACTCGACTCGGCGGTTCAATTTTTCCACCTCCTCCTCGCGTGAGACCAGCGCACCGGTGTGAATGATTTCTTGCATTTGCCGTGTCACCCGCAGCGTGTGCAGTTGGCGGAGCTCCATCTCCAACGTCCCCACGCAGTACAGCAGGCGTTCGGTTTCCCAGGCAGCCATTTTCATTGACTGTCGTTGGCGCGAGATGTTGCCCATAAGCCTGGAAATCTCATCAAAGCTTGCAAAGATAAGGGCGTTGTGGTCTAAAACATCCTTCGCCCTTCGAAAGGAGAAATCGGTAAAGTCCGCGTTTAGCACGGCCTCTTCGTCTTGCACCTGGCCTTGTCGCAAACGATATAGATTTTGTACATTGAGAAGCTTGCGGACGGCACCCTGCTTACAGGATTCCTCCTCCGCCTCTTTTTCCTGCAATTCCCCTCGGACTCGCGTCAGTTCGACTTCGACCTCTTTCAAGGCCTCGGCAAAGGTTTGAACCGTTGCGGTGTTACGGGCCACGGCACTTTTTGCCACAACGATGGCTGAGCAACATTCGCAGAAGAGTTTCCAGAGGGGGAGAGGGATCGTGTCATTCTGCCCAACCAGGGGGACCTGCGCTTGGCCTTCCTCGTACCTGGTGCGCCACCTCGTCAAGCGTCGGTATAACTTATCCCCCCAGGTGCTGTCATCAAACGGTGGAGAGTCGCGCATCCGTACGGCAACGCCTTCTTCCTCCTCGATGGAGTGCTGTAATCGAGACTCTTCCGTAGCCAATAAGTTTTCCCTATATAATTCAAGACTCTCAAGCTGTTTCACACGTTCTTGGAGCTCTGCTTTTTCCTTCATGACGCGCAGGAGCTCATTCAAGATTGTGATGGGGAGAAAGAGCCTGCGAAGCGCATTCATTTGGTGCGACTCCAACTCATCCACCAGCTCAGCCACCTCCATGCGCTGCCTCCTCAGCGAGGCAATCTCGTCATCTACCACTTTTGCTGCTTCCCTATTGTTCTTCCTTAGTTCTTCCATCTCTGCACGCAACGCCTCCTTCCGCTCATTCACGTATGCCGTCTGCTCTGCAAGTTGCTTCTCATACTCTTCATACGCCCGTTGCTGCTCCTCCGTTCGATCCTCGGGGTCCACATACTGCTCCAGTGTTTCATCCGCAAAAGCAGGCAGGGCGACCTTGACGGCCAGGACCTCGGTATCCTTCTCAAGGCCATCCATCCACGTCTTCAACGCCGCTTCATCTGTCGGGGAGATGACAAAGGCGTCGTTGTCATCTTTTTTGGCAAGCTTGAGTAACTCGGGGTCGATTTCCGAATCAAAGACATCAAAGACTGTCTTGGGGTCCTCCTCAACGTCAAAGACGGGGGTGAAAAAGAAATCCTCAGGGACGGAGGTTTCACCAAGCTGCAGCAAGATGCGTCGGCAACGATCATTCCTTTCCGCAATACGCTGCAACTCTCGTTTTTTACGCTCGAATAGACTGTCGAAGCGAGCATTGAACGTCAGCTTCAACTTGGATGCCCTTCCACGAAGCAAGTAGATTTGCATAACAGCACGTGAATTTGTATAGACGTCCATCGCATCATAGAGAAGCTCGGAAGTGTCGTCGGCGATGTCGCCCGCGTGCTGCAGCGGGGCAGGGTCAGTTCCAGGCTGTTTCAGCAAGGGAGAAAAGGTGAAGTAGTCACCATCTTTCTTTTGCAGTAGCCTCAAAAACTTCAACTTTTTCAACAGTTTCGCTTCCTCCGGGTCGGCCTTACGGCGATGAAAGTTGTGAACTTCAAGCGCAAGGTCATTGAGGCTGACAATCTTCGACCGTTGCACTTCCATTGTGTCCCAGCAGTCGCGTCGAATGGTGTACTGCGTGAATTCATTGTGAAGCAAGTGGTAGTAATCCTCTTCCTTTGCCTTGTGTATCGCCCAGTCGCACTCCGCTCTAAACGACTCTCGCTGCTGAGGTAGCAAAAAGTCCTCAACCTGGACAGCTGAAGTTCTCTCCTTTAACAACTCCTGAACTTGCCCCCTAATCTCTGCCAAACGCGACTGCACACTGGATTGGTTTAGCTCGCCCATTGCATTGAACGCTTCTTCTGAAGTTTGCGTAGTGTCTGAGGGACCTGGCAATTTCTCCTTGCGCCATACTGGCTCCGTCCATGAGTAATGCATAGACTTACTGGAGGGGATAAAATGAACCACTTCGTCGTTACCGCCACAGACAAAGCCAAGATTGTCATTCCAGGCACACAACGAAGTGATTCCTCCCTTACCCAGGTGTCTTATGGGGAACTCCCCGCGCGGCCGTCGCTTTTCCTTCGAAGGTGGAATAGGCGTCAGCCGTGAAAGATAATGTGAGATGTCTCTTACAATCACCTTGCCATCAGCCCCACCAGAGACAACAGCGGTGTCTCCAAAACGTTGCAGGACAGAGCCACCGCTGCCCTCATGATCGCGCATCAGGAATAAGGGACGCAGCGATTTGATGTCTCGCTCTCGCCGGCGTTCCAGCACGTAGAGCTTGGTGTCCTTGTCTAGCGAATGCACCAAAACGTTCACCACGTCATCGTCAAGGTAAAGTGGGAGAAAGTCATGGGCAGGGTAATCTAGGCGCCACACCGTCTCCACTGCCACACTATCCAAGGAAGCTTCCGCAGCGCCAAGGCCTTGAAGCAGGTGTATCTCGCCATTGGTGCAAGCCGCCAAAACCGACGGGTGGCCACCAAGGTTCCAGCGGATGGTTTTCACCGTAGCCGTAAAAGTATCCACGGAGGCACGAGCTTGAAGAACACCGTCATGCAGGGTAGCAAAGTAAACCGCAGCTCCATCACTTACGGCCAACGAGGAGAGTCCATCGGATTCGCACACGGTGAGCGGCATCTCACCCAGCGCTATCTGAGAAGAAAATGTGAATTCGTCACCAACCAGGAAACAACGCATATATCCACTGTGATACGCCACAATCACGGCCGATCCTACGGCGCAGGCATCTCCGGCCTTATCACCAAATTCTGTGGTGAAGTAAAGCACATCATTTGTCGTTTTGTCATATCGCATTAAGCTACCTTCCGTTGAGACCCGTACAATGTAGTCACCCACGTTCAGAAGCTTTACCGTATTCCCTGTATCACGCCGAGAGGTGACAGCAGATTCCGCCTTGTCGAGGTTCAGCTTTGCAATTTCAGCCCTGGTAACAATTACTGCATCCTCTCCACTTTCAGAGAGAAGCAGCCGTTCCACGACGTGCTCGACCTGAATAAGCAAGTTCACTGCCTTCTCATCCATCTTGTAGCCAAATATTGCACCGTTCTCTGTCCCTGCCAAAAGGAGGTTAGTCGTGTGAAGCATGGACGTCACCGCACCGCTGTCTGGGCAGGTTAGATAGTCACGCATTTCCATCTGTAGCTCATCAAAAAGGAGAATGGATCCCTGCTTTAATCCACAAAGTACACCGTACGTGCTCCAGCAGCACGAATAAAATTCCCTGTCATTCGAGGCCAAGGAAACGACATTGGGAGAAGCTGAGTCTGACACCAAATGACTTATAAGAGCAACTTCCTCAGCATCCCACACAGCCACACAGTCCGTTCTTTGTGGAGGAAATACCAAATATTTCCAAAATTTGTCAGCCAATGTCACAGAGACGCACTTCTCTAGCGTCCGTCCACGTTGGACCATGAAGAGTGTCACATAACAGTTTGGCACGCAGTTTAGTACGGCCAACATCTGCCCATTTGGTGAAAACTGCATGTCCTGCACCTCTACTCTCGCAAAGTCATCCACTTTCTGCACGCGACTCAGCTCGGGAAACCTAAACACGTGCAGGACAACATTGAGCCTCTTCTCAGTGACACAAAGCAAGTGCGACAAGGGCGAGTACGCCAGATGGTCCACAGGATAGCGGCCATCAGCGGGCACCCACTGATTCGATTCTCCGCCACGCCTAACAACAACACCTCCGCCAGCTCCAACAAGAAGAGAGTTGCTCACGGGGCACACTGCGGCAGGGGAGTTGAATCCAAGTATAAATGCATTCGATGACATCGCAAACACCCTACAAGGACTCTACAAAGGCCTGGCGCACTACGAGAAGAAGACAAAAGTAATAGACAACCAATAAGGGGGAAAAAGGGAAGCCAAGAGAGGACACAACCATCTACAAGAGTAAAGTAGGGAGAAAAGAAAAGTCAAGACGCGGATATGCAAACACCCCTGGCGCCAACGATGGAAAAGAGTAGATGAGGAAAGCGTTCGTGTCTACAAAAAAAAGTTAAGAAACCCCCAGCCCCCCCACAGATGTCATACACAAAAACAAAAATAGCAAACAAACAAGGAAGCAGAGAAGAAAGAAAGAAGGAAAAAAAAAACCCTCAAGAAACTCCAATTCCCCGCTGAATTGCGTCAATCCACATTTCCATTTTTTCGTGAGATTCGGCTTGAAACCACATTGACTTACCGCCAATGGTGTTCAATGCAAAAACAAACTCCCTCTTGGCCGTGCCAACTGGCACCGGGCATGCACTTTGAACCTGCTCCAGACTTAACGCCTTTCCCTCGCGGTCTGTTTCACTGTCTGACAAAATCAATGCACCGCGAGCAATCTGCAGATACCTCTCCTTCCACGAACGTCCGTTTGCGCTGCCCAACTTCTTCACGTGACCCTTAAAGGTCACATCCATATTGACTTGACCCACCAGACCACTGCGCGGCTCTGGCACGGAGTCTGAAGAAAGAATCTCAGCAACGTGCGAGATTAGTGCCTCCTTCACGCTCTCCGCAATGCGGGTATTCTTCTTGACCGTTTGCCCAAACACTTTTAGTCCTTCCTTCACATATGCAATCTGAAAGAGCTCCCGAACACCAGGCCGTTGATTGGCGTCAACCACAAGAATGGAACGCACAAGGTCTCTCAACTGGGTTGAAAACTTCTCAGGAATTGGGGCATACTCACAGCTGAGGACCTTTGCCATTAGTCCTTTCATACTGGTAGCTGAAAAAGGCCTTTTGAGGGCCACAATTTCGTACAATAAGACGCCCAGAGACCACACATCGGCCTTTTTGCTGTACCTTTGGTTGCTCCATATCTCGGGTGCCAAGTAGTAAGGTGTCCCACAAAATGTATTCGCAACCACGCCAGACACAGTATCATCGTACTGACGACTGAAGCCAAAATCACCCAGCTTGATTAGCCCTGTCGAAGTGAGAAGAATGTTCGCTCCCTTGATGTCCCGGTGAAGCATCTTGTGGCCGTGTATGTGGTCCAAGGCAAGACAAAGCTGCAAGAACAAAAATAATGCCTCATGCTCTTGAAAGTACCGAAAATTGTCTTGAGCTCGCGCCTTAATTTGCCTATCAAGATCTCCAGAATCGGCAAACTCCATAATGATAAGCAGCTGGTCGTTTTCCTCGTGATCCTCAATGAAGCGAATAATATTGGGATGATTACAATTTGCCAAACATTTAATTTCACTATGGGCGTACTGCTTGTCGCGAGAAGACATCTTTCCTAAATCCATCACCTTGGCCACAAAAATGGCGTGATCCTCCACACGCTCAACCAGCCATGCTTCTCCGTACGAGCCCGTTCCTATGAGTTTCTTCTTTATAAACTTACATTCATTCCCAGCGGCCTTCACTCCCAAAATGGACGTAAAGGTCTCCATGATCGCTGCTGTGACGGCTGGAAAGAACTAGAGAGAGAGAGAATGAGGAAAAAGGTAAACAAAGAGAACAAACCACTAACCCACTAGACTCAAACTGAGATTGAAGGGGAAAAAAGACGAGCAACGCAAGGAGCAAACCGCGCCAATAAATCGCACGCAAACGGAACTCGCCAAGCGGCGAAATCACACAGACACCAACCGCGAAGAAGAGGAAGAGGGGAGACAGAAGGCGGCGAAAGCGATGTAAAAAAAAAACGATGCACAGACAAACGGCAGGCACAAGAAAGGAGTTCGCGCCCCCCGCCCCCCTCGGGCGCGCGCTCTGCGCGAGGCGCCCCCGCCCCCTTCCTTCCGGGCCGCGCGGGGGCGCGCAAAAGAGGGCCGGCAGAGCGGGGGGCGGCGCCTTTATTTCTGTTTTTTCCCGGCCCCGCCAATTTTCTTGTTTTGGGCGACGGGCGCCGCGGCACGGGCTCGAGGAAGAACATTGCCGGCCCTTCGCCTGGCGCGCGGCTTTGCTCTGTTTTCTTGTGCGTGTCGCCCCCCGGGCGCAAGAACGGGGCGGCCCGGGCGCCTCCTGGGCCCCGCGTCCTTCCCGGGGCGCGCGCGGTCTTGTTGAACCGCCGCCTCTTTCCCCATGCGACCATCGGGGGGTGCAGGCTTCGGAAGCGGTGTCGGCCGCGCAACGCCGAGAAAGCAGCCGCGGGGGGCGTCGTTTGTCCACTGTTTGCTCAGGCATGAGTTCTGATGAAGCGCGAGTAATCAATAGAGAGAGCCTGACTTAAAAAAAACACAACTGCTTCCTCACCGCTTTCTTACCG